GGGAAGTTGATGTAAAGGAGTAAGTGGGAGTTGCTAAGGTTTGTTTGGTAAAGTAACTTGTAGAGGATTATTCTGTTGGTGAAAACAAAGGGGAAGTTGATGTAAAGGAGTAAGTGGGAGTTGCTAAGGTTTGTTTGGTAAAGTAACTTGTAGAGGATTATTCTGTTGGTGAAAACAAAGGGGAAGTTTATGTAAAGGAGTAAGTGGGAGTTGCTAAGGTTTGTTTGGTAAAGTAACTTATAGAGGTATATTCTGTTGGTGAAAACAAAGGGGAAGTTGATGTAAAGGAGTAAGTGGGAGTTGCTAAGGTTTGTTTGGTAAAGTAACTTATAGAGGTTTATTTTGTTGGAGAAAACAAAGGGGAAGTTGATGATCAACTTAACTGACTGCTCTGTACAAATTGGTTTAGTAAGAATTTTAAACTTTAATGCATAAATGTACCTAGTGAGGTAGGTGATCTTATGAATTTCAGAAACCAGAACTTGGGCAAACAGTTGCTGACCCAATACAAACACAGTTGCTATGTGTTGAGGCAATCTGGAATGGTAACAACAGTACTCACACAAGACTTGTGTGGTGAGGACCTATAAGACTCGGCTGGTGACTGACACTAGGCATATCAAATCATACGTAAACCCATTTACGAGTTGAATCAGTAGCGTACGGCTATTAATGTAATATACAACTGTGTTTATGATATATGGCTTCTGTAGAAGCGTATGATACATATGGTTTAATACTTCGTCACCAACGTTTATTCAGCTCCAACTGGATATTATTAGACTTCGTACTATAGTTTAATAATCATTAGCTCGTAATCCAATTTCATGTTTGTTTATCTATTTTTGTTTATTGCTGTAAATTTGTTTATGTCATATTAGCTAACTTATTAAAAACAAAAAGTAATGTTGGTATAAAATCATGAAAAATCATGAATCCGTAAATATATGATGAACAGACATGTTTAAACATGAAATCCCTTATTTCATTATTAGGATATATCCCTTCTCCCATATTGTTCGGTAACGTCATCGACTCGACCTGCCTGGTGTGGAAGGCCCACTGTGGAATACCTAGTGGTTTTTGTCTGATATATGATATTGAACAGTTCCGATTAAGGTAAGAAAAATTTAATGGTAATAACGTTTTGTAATGTCTTGATTTCATCTGTTTGGTGTGGGAAAACTTAATACTTGATTTTAAGAAGCAATGAGAACATCAACAATCAAGTACTTACTTGGTAAACAAAGTTTGCAGATGAAAGAGTATGGGTCAAAGAGATTACTGGTTTACAGAGAATTAGGAATATAGGTTGACTCAACACGAATCTGCCAACAGATGGAGCATATTGTTAGTTCAAAGAATAGTATAATCTTAATAAACTTGGTACATGAACCTACCAACAGGTGGAGCATATTGTCGATATACATAATAATAAAAATCCTACCAACAGGTGGAGCGTATTGTCAATATATATAGAATAATAAAAATCCTACCAACAGGTGCAGTATATTGTTAGTATACAGAAAAGTAAAACTTTAATAAACTTGGTACATGAACCTACCAAAAGGTGGAGCATATTGTCAATATACAGAATAACAAAAATCCTAAAAAATTTGGTACATGAACCTACTAACAGGTAGAGTATATTGTTAGTATACAGAACAGTAAAAACCTTAATAAACTTGGTACATGAACCTACCAACAGGTGGATCATATTGCTAATATAGAGAATAGTAAAACCTTAATAAACTTGGTATATGAACCTACCAACAGGTGAAGCATATTGCTAATATAGAGAATAGTAAAACCTTAATAAACTTGGTATATGAACCTACCAACAGGTGGAGCATATTGTCAATATACAGAATAATAAAAACCCTCAAAAATTTGGTACATGAACCTACCAACAGGTAGAGTATATTGTTAGTATACAGAACAGTAAAAACCTTAATAAACTTGGTACATGAACCTACCAACAGGTGGAGCATATTGTTAGTATACAGAACAGTAAAAACCTTAATAAACTCGGTACATGAACCTAACAACAGGTGGAGATTTTAACATATACAGGAGTAGGAACCGTAAGGAATTTGGTACATGAACCTACCAACAGGTAGAGTATATTGTTAGTATACAGAACAGTAAAAACCTTAATAAACTCGTTACATGAACCTAACAACAGGTGGAGATTTTAACATATACAGGAGTAGGAACCGTAAGTAATTTGGTACATGAAGGAGAAGATTATTAGCATACAGAATAGTAGGAATCTTGATGCATTTGGTTCATAAACTTACCAGTAGCTTGTGCTTTAGTTTTTTTTTTTTTTACTAGTAAACTAAACCGTCTGATACTTATGGTATAAAATTTTCTATAATAAATGAAATAGTTTTTACGTATGCTGGTGCTGTAAAGCCTGCATCAGTAAACAAACAGTCCAGTTCTTGTCTAAAGTTTTCTCTTATTTCAGATATATTGCCATTTGCTCTGGGTTAAAAGTAACAGCTGGTCTTCTCTTCTTCCTTGACTGGGTGTTGATATCATGGCGACACAGGAAAGAATTAACAGAAGGACCTACCATGACTGTCGGTGAGATTGTTTCCTCTATCATTTCCTTGGACCGACTTTCGGCTATGGGTCGAGGCGATCTTGCTAGAGACTGTGATGAAGTACTGCCCCTAGAAGAACATTCGGAAGATACTTGTGTGGAAAACGACCTCCGAAGAAATCACTTACACAGACGTGGACTATCAGGACATCAAGTTAGTTTTGTTGGTGTACCAGCTTAGTACATGTTTTCAGCCTCGATACTGTTTATTTCTCTGTAGAATATATATATATATGTCTGTTTTATATAGGTAGATATATATATAGAAGTGTAATAGGAATAGTGTACAATTTGTAAGTAATATTTATGGTTCAGATCTTATATGCATAGAGACTTAAGCAGTGATTGGATATGTTGTACTTAAATGTTCTTAGTTGTGGGAAAATCAAACAATGTAAGAGATCAATACTTTTTTACTATCACTTTTTTGTCTGGAAATCACTGTAAGTTCCTTATCATTGGTTATTTTTGTGTAAAATAACTTCTCACTCTTTATGTCGAAAGGAAAAAAAAAATTTTGCTACTCTGATGGTTTTACATGTGACCGTGATTTGGTAAGCTGTAACGGGACTATTGTGATAACCAAAATTTGGAACAAGGTGTCAAATGAAATAAAATCTGTATTTACAATAAATTTCAGAAGTGATTGATAAGCTTGTGTTGTGATTTTGTTCTTATGTAACAACATTTGATGTGGTTCTTGTGAAGTTAATCAGTCTGTACTAAAGTCGATAATTAAAACTAATCATCAGACACTTACACACAACTTGATAGATGGATTGATAAGCTGTTCACACGTATGTAGCTATTGGTAAGCTGTTCACACGTGTGTAGCTATTGATAAGCTGTTCACACGTGTGTAGCTATTGATAAGCTGTTCACACGTGTGTAGCTATTGATAAGCTGTTCACACGTGTGTAGCTATTGGTAAG